TAGTAGTAGTAGTAGTAGTAGTAGTAGTAGTAGTAGTAGTAGTAGTAGTAGTAGTAGTAGTAGTAGTAGTAGTAGTAATAATACTAATAATAATAATATACAAAGCAAGTGATGCACTATGCAATTGCTCACCACCTGCCAACCAATGCCCAGCTGGTTCCTGAGCAGCAGTCCCCTGCCTCCTGGCCAGCTCCCCCCAGTTTATATACTGAACATGACATCATATGGTTTGGAATAGCGCTTTGGCCAGTCTGGGTCAGCTGTCCTGGCTGTGTCCCCTCCCAGCTTCTTGTGCACCTCCAGCCTCCTTGCTGGTGGGACAGTATGAGAAGCTGAAAAGTCCTTGACTTAGTGTAAGCACTGCTCAGCAACAACTAAAACATCAGTGCGTTACCATCATTATTCTCATCCTAAATCCAAAACACAGCACTATACCAGCTCCTAGGAAGAAAATTATCTCTATCCCAGCTGAAACCAGGACAATCCTAAAGAACAGAATTATTTGAGATCAATCATCCTTTCTTTTGACATTGTATTTGAAAGAGTAAATACAGATTTTTTTTAAAGTATGTTTAAAAAGAGAAGACTATAAGTTCACCTTGTCTGTGAGTTAAATTGGAATCTAGTACTTTCTACCTAATCATCAGAACGTGCACCTGTTAGGTTTTCTTCATTCCCCGCCCCCTTACATATATATATATATGGTACATAAACCAAGAGGGAGAGGGGAAAAAATCTCACTTTGCTGGAGAAAGTCAATATATTAACATTGTTTATGCAGTATTGCTGACAAAAGTGTAATGAAAAATATAAAACTTAATTTAGCATAATAGGCATGCAGAAAGCAAGTGTATCACAACTTAAAGTAACTGAAATACACTGGCAGTAGTGCAGTTTTATATAGACCTTTCTCTGAATACTCCCATCCTTTTAAATCTGTATTAAAATTGTGAAACAGCCTAGAACTGAAATTTGAGGAACGCTAGTTAGAATCAGCATGTCAGTTCAGACATGACAGGCAAAGGATCTGCATATCTCTGTGAACAGCTTGAGAGGAAGCTCTACTCAGTAAGGTGAGGTATGAAGGACAGAATAGGAGGTAATCTACTCTATGCTGCCTTTCAAACCAATGATGATGATTGTTTGAGTGTCAAACTCTTTTCTGTCTCTTTCAGTAAAGATACAGAAGACGACAATGAAAAATCCCCCTTTCTTGGGAATGGGGCCTTTTTTTGCATAGCCTGGAATTAATTGTGGAATTTGCCATCAAAGGTATGGGTTCAAGGGGGTGTTGTGTTTGGTTTTGGTTTGGTTTGTTTTTTTAATTGTAAAAGTGAATAATGTCATGCAGGCAAAAGTTGGTCATTGAGTTATAAAAATCTGGGTTGTATTTCTATTATAGGCATTCTTACTGTTTCCCCCAGAATCTTTCTCACTGCTTATTGCTCACACATTATACTTAGTAGGTCACTCGGAAACAAGTATTTCAGTACTTATATCTCTCTGTTTTGTTTGTTGAGCTGTTATTTCCCCTTCTGAGGAAGCGCTGTGAAGTCATGGAATCTCTGCTGCTCTGGTAAGATGGAAAACAGATGGTTTCCTCAGTGGTCAGCAGTGTTTCTAGCTGCCTCTGGTTTTTTTGGCCTCTGTGTCTTTGTCAGTCTGCATGATTTCCCATTTGTAAATCCATGCTGACTACTCCCCATCACCTTCTTGTCCTTCATGTGTTTGGAAGCAGTGTCCAGGATTATTTGCTCCACCTTCCCAGGGATCAGGGTGAGGCTAACAGACCTGTAGTTGCCTGGATCCTCCTTCTTGCCCTTGAAAACAGGCTTGACACTGGCTTTGTTGAGTCCTCTGGAACCTCACCCATCAGCTTAAAACTTTCAGCCATAATTGGGAGGGGCTTCACAATGGCAGGGCCAGCTCTCAGCACTCATGGTGGCATCTCATCGGGTCCTATGGATGTGTTATGTCCAGTTTGTTTCAAGGTTTCTTAATCTGATCCTCCCTCACTCGGAGTAAGTCTTTCTTGCTCCAGACTTTCCCACTGGTCTCAGGGGCCTGGGATTCCAGAAAGCAGGTCTTACCTGTAAAAAGCAAGGTGAAGAAGGTGCTTTGACCTTTTTGTATCCTTTCACCAGGTACCCTACCCCATTCAGCAGCAGGCCGACATTTCCCATAGCCTTCCTTATGCTGCTTGTGTACCTGTACAAGACTTTGATTCTGACCTTCATATCCCCCACCAGATTCAACTCCAGGTGGACTTTGGCTTTCCTAACCCCATCCCAGTACACCGAAGTGGTGTTTCTGTATCAAGTGTTTGCACACACTTGATGTGGTTCCACTTCAGCTCTGTTTTGTTGTTTATAAGATCTCTTTTGTCCACATCACCCTGCATCCTTTGCTTGCAAACCCTGACCACCACTTCCTCGCTCGGTCGCAGGTCACCACCTCCCTCTCTCATTGTTTCTAGTCTAAGGCTTCCCGTAGCAAATTGACCAGCCTGTTGGCAAAAATGGTTTTACCCCGCATAGTGTCAGGTGGATCCTGTCCCCCCACCCCCACAGTTCTTGATCCTCAAAGTCCTATGGGTGTAAAAGCTGAGTCCCGGCTTTTAACACAAGGTGCACAACCAGTTGTCGGTCTGTGGGATCGGTCTGCTCCTCCTCAAGTCCTTCCCCTTCACCAGCAGGATGAAGGAGATGCCACCTGGTCCCCAGGCCCTGGCCCTCATACTCCAAGCCATGTAGTCATGCTTTATATGCTTCTGGTCTCCCCTGGCCGTATCCGTGGTGCCCATGTGGAAGAGCAGCTGAGGGTAAAAGCCTGAGGGCCAGACCACTACCAGCCTCAGTCATATCCTATCCATGGTATCCAGGACCCAAGGCCCTGGCAAGCAGCAAACCTTGCCAGGTGATAGGTGGGGCTGGCAGAGATGCCTCTGTCCCTGCAGCAGGGAGTTTCCCACCACTGTTCCTTGCCCTGTCCTGCCTGCACTGCCACAGGACTCGTGCGCAGCCAGGTCGGAGGCTTCATTGGACACAGCTGTCTGTCCTTGCCTGCTGCCAGGGCTCAGAACCTGCTCTGTAGATCAGAGCTGTAAGCAGAGCAGGAATCTCCTGGTGCTGAAGCTCGCAAGCTCCCAGGCTTCACCAGACTTGGTATCTCCATGCCCAGCTTGACAAGCTGAGGCTCTGCCTGCTCCTCCTCAGTGCAGTGGGGGTTCCTGTATCTGCAGGATCTCGGAGGGGATCTGGTCCATTTCCTTTTCAGCATCCCTGATGTTGTACAGTTTGCTCACATCCTCCCACAGCTTCTCTGCTTGGTGAGACAGATCCTCCATCAGTGCACGCTTAGAAGGATATAAAATGTTTTTTAGTTCTAAACCTGCTGGTTGCCAAAGCTAACTTACAAGAGGCACATTAAGAACTGGCAGAGTCAGGAGTATAATACTACGTCATTTATATGTCTAGACACTGTATATATGTGTGTAGTATATTAATACCATGTATGCAACAGACTACAGTGCATGCATGCTACACATAGTAAAATTAAAAAATAATAGTAAATATAGGCCTAAATAGTTTTTATGATTATCGTGAACTTAAAAACAGTTTTAGGGGCACAGTAGCTGTATTCAGTATGCAACATGGGTTTATAAAACAAGTGTTAGAAAATTTGGTGCATTCTTAGGATTAAAATAAGCACTTAATACTCTGCTATACTTGAATGGGAACACTAGCACTAGAAGACAGCAAACAAAGGGTTATGATAAATAGTGCATAGGAGAAGTGTGGAAAATTGTCAGATAGTGTATTTGGGTCTGATTTTGATTAGAGATCTAGAAAAGAAGAAAACAAGACATTAAGGAAACTTGTGGATAATATTAAACAGAGATATTGTGAATGCAAGTGAGGGTAGACAAACATGAAACAAGCAAAACCCCTGGAAACAGAGATGTCTGACTGCTAAACAAGATGAAATTCCAGTGCAACAAGTAGAAGCTGAAAGGAATGGAAGGAAATACATGTGAAATGGACAAGTTCCCTGAAGCCCAGAAATCAGGGAACCTAATGGGTAGGAGAGTAGTTTGGGGTTCATGTGTGTGTTGAAATATTAAAATATGTATATGAAGGCAGCCTGACAAAAAAAGTAACAGTAGTAATCTTTCCCTTGAAGGTTCTGCTGAATAGTGCTTATGACTTAGTGCTGCATTTTTATGAAGATTAGTTTATGAAACTCTGAAGTTCATACTGTAGGACTTGGTGGGGTTTCTTCAGTCTAAAACAAAAAAGAACCCAGCACAGTAAACTATCAGAATGGAAACCTTGATGTTGTAAGTGTGATTAATGGTGAGAACACTTACCACTGTATGATACCTCTTATTGATGTACATGAAAGGTGTTATGGTAGTGTGGTTTCTTCCTCTATTGGTTTTCTATAAATGCCATGAAGGAGGATTTTTAAGCAGGGAAAGAAGACAAATTCCTAGGGAAGCTTATGACTATTTTAGCATACAAGCTTTTAAAAAACAACCTTGAAATATAGTTGGGAGACTATGATAGGTAGGTGGGATGAATTCTTGTATAACATAAATCATTCCTTATATTTCTTGTTTGCTTTGCAACCTTTTTATTTTGATGGGAGACTTCTTTTCTGTAATGTTTATATCCTTTGCTGCTGCCAGCTGGCTGACAATTGCTTGCTTTACCTAGTACTTAATAGTTTTCCCAGGTACTTGTTTTACTTGCATCTTGATGATAAATGTTACTTTTTAGCAAGATATAACTAGATAATGAAATAATAAAATATTTCTCTTCCTGGTACTTGAAGAGTGTATGTGAAATCTCTGTAAGGTTTCATTTGATTCCTTAAATCAATAGCTGACAGAGGGGTTTTTTTTCCCTATTTGAATGTATGTGGAACCCTGGAGATTGCACGATACTAGTTAATTGGCTCTTTTTTCTTTTTTAATTTATCTCTCTAGGATAATCTTTTCTTCCTGGGTCGTGACAGATTATTACCTGCTTGTGTTCAATGGGACGACGAATTCACTTTGTGGTTGACCCACAGGGTTGGTGCTGCATGGGCCTGATTATCTTTGTCTGGCTGTACAATACAATCTTCATTCCAAAAGTCATCCTTTTTCCTCACTATGAAGAGGGACATATTTCAATTGTGGCAATTTTGTGTAAGTCAATTTAACTTAGCCCTTTTTTTCTACTAGCAAAACCAGTATATTTGGGCAGTAGTTAACAGACATGAGAAAGGTCAGAAAATAAAGAATAAGGTGAAGGATAAAGATAAAGGATAAGAGTACTGGGACGCATCCTACATTTTTGTGTTCTGAAAAGTTGAGACACTTCATCCATTTCAAAGGTGTCATGGTAAGACTTGTTTGTGTGGGAACTGGGGAAAAGTGTTAATGCGGCTTTCAGATCCTGTAGCTAGAACTTGTTGAGAGAATTTCAGGCCCACAACTCTTAGTGCTTGTCAGAATTTGGGGTGGTAGTACTGATGGTTGACAAACTGAGTTTTGTTAGTTTTGTCATACATCCCTGGATGGGTCAGCTAATGTGAGTTACGCTAATTGGTTTTGCTGGGGAAAAGGCTTGAATTATACCTGGAAGCAACTTTAAAGTGAAGATGGACTATTGGGAATGTCCTTTCATGTAGAGGCTTTGAGGTGTAGAATGATTGGTGCTTATTTGATAAGACAGTGGAGGAACTTCTTAAATATAGTAGTAAGGTCATAGTGGCATCCTGCTGGTGCTATCAAAACAGTGTTCATTGCTACCTTTTCCTCTCTCTTTTTAGGACTGGGGAGTACTTAATATTGTAGACTGTATAGGACCAAAAATGTATCTGGAATTGAATGAGAAGCCTGAGTAATTTCCAACTCAGTGCTGAAGCATCTGTATTTTTGATGCAGTGTGTAGTAGATATTTTTTACACCTGAAAAAGACTAACAAATGCTTATTTATTTTTTCAGGTTATTACTTCTGCTCATTGTTTTGTATAGCTTCATTACTAAGAGCCTCAGTGGCTGATCCAGGAAAGTTACCTGAAAACCCAAAGATACCAATTACAGGTACATTAAGTTGTTTCTATATAATTGAATAACAGTTATTTTAATGTCCTCAAAAAAATTAGGAATCAATTTGATTTTGTGAGATTTGATGGAAACCATGAGCTGTCTGTGCTGAAGCCTATATTGTTAATGAAATTAAAATCGGTATGTCACTGTTTTTAACTTGTACATTTCTAGGACTTTCCCTTGTGTAGACTCAAAACTTCCTTTTCAAAACTTGTATTCCATCAGAAGTTTAGTTATGTAGGAACTTCTGTAGGACATATTTCCATGGGAAGAATTTTTTTTGCATTCTAGGCTTTCAAACATATTACATATACTTCTAATGTGATAATATTTAATAAAAAATGTTTAGAGATGGTTAGTCAGTATAATTCTACAGCTTTTTTCTAAGTAAATTTGTAAGATTTGAAAGTGGTGGTAGAAGGTACTCTTACACTGGATTTTACCTGTGCATTTTTTACACATTTCTTTTCAGTGACTTATGTTTGTATGGGCTGTAACCAAACAAATATGATGCTAATTATGTTGTGTTGCTATAGAGTGGCAACTTAACATGTGAGAATTCCCTTCTGTCCTTGTGAATTTATCCCACAATTCCTGTAGGGTATCTAATGCTCCAGAAATTGGAGGAAATCTGAAATCTTAGTAATTCTCCACAGAGAAAGTCAATATTTTTATGAACTGTTTGATGCTATTGAGGTGCTTGTCTAATGCATAGAGCTTTTACATAGCAGTTTAGAATGGAGCAGGGATATTAAGCAGCATGAGATTTGTCACATTAACAGAAAATACTTTTTGAATGTAGAAAATGTATCAAATTCAGTGAGGGGTGAATATTTCAGTCTTGTCTTGCAACATGGTGGATGCCAGGAGTAACATTTTGCTCTCTCTTCCTGATATTAGTGAGAATCTAGGATGACGTGTTTGGAAACATGATCTGTTCAGCCTCAGCACTGCTATTACGGTGTGCACGAGCTAGGCAGCAGATAGTAGGAAGGGATGTATCTCCTTGGCATTCAGATGTGAAACACTGATCGCAGAAAATCTCATGTCAGTGTTCTTTCTGCTGCTGGTAACTGAGCCTTTGATCCACTAAAATGAAAGGTGGCTCAGACTTGGGTTCTAGAGTGAGTGTTCTTGCTGCAGGAAGAACAACATGGATTGTGCAACCTGAGCTGAAGCATGAAGACACTCAGTACACTTACAGACAATTACATTTATGAATGAATGGTTGTTTACCTGCAAAATACCAGGACCAGTATAAATTCCCTTTGTGCACAAATGCTTCCTTCTCTTTTAAGGGATCCCTTTGAATAGCTCTCCAACCTCTTCATGCTCCATTCATTTCTTACATCAATGATACTTTATAGATACTTCTGAAGATGGAACACTTAGGCTTGACTGTGACATTGGTGTTACGATTTGGTGTGTGCTATATGAGGGGTTTTGTACTGTCTAAAGTAGCACTTCAATTCTCTGGTATTCTCTAGGTTGACAGGAAGATATAGTTTTGCATGGTATAAATTGTATTCAAAAATGAGATTGGGGGCTTTCTGAACTCTGCCGGAGCCACCTTATTAGGGAGTGACACCTTTGTGATGCTGGATTTATGGGAACAGATTGTAAATCAGTTTCCATCTGGCATTATTACTAGTTTAATGATCTCAGATATTGAGCTTCTTTACTTCCAGTGTCCAAATGTTATTTTGCAGCAAGAAAGACAAGCAGGTGGCTCAGCAGTGCTAAATTTAACTTTATTTTGTTTACTTAGGGGCAGTGCTTTACCGTATAAAATTTCAGAACGCCCTACTGTAAAAACTAAGCTTATTTTTTTCCCCTGGGATTTAAGAAATATCTCCGCATCAAAAAAGTTCTATTTAGGTAGAAACAACCAGTCAAGGTATTTAAGATTCTCAGTCATGCACCTATTTTCCTTAAAGTCAGAAAATATATGCTTTTATGAATGGAAGTATTATTTGTTTGGAAACAAACAGTGTTGATATGATTTGTTTCCCATGTGAAAATGAACTTACTGAATATATAATTTGAATTCTCATTTTCAAAGGCTTCCTCTAATTTGGGTGGTGCAATTTGAGATAAATCATACCTAAGCTGAGCAATAGTAGCTCCTGGTAGTTTCAGCTACTCAGTATCTCTGGAGATCAGCTTAAAGAATCTCACACTGGGCATCCAAAACCAGTGTATATTTTTAAATACAAGCCTATCCTCTGTCTGTTCTTTGGTTGCCTTATGTGTAAAATTGCATATTGTGAGATGCATGTCTTAAAATGCTTTGAGATGGAAGGTGCTCTTGAAGTGTTCATTGTGTATTTTATTTTAGTTAGCTAGCTCTGACAAGTTTGAGTAGCAGTATTTCCTCAGGAGGTTTTGGAGTGGCTGGGAGATTCATGGTTCTGTCTAGCAGATAGGTTTTTTAACAGTAGACATGTAAGAAAATAATTGAATTACAGTCTTCCTTGTTTGAGTGACAGCTATTGTGCTGTAATAATTACTCCCCAGAAACATATACAAGGAGAGACGATTTTGGAGAAGAAAACTGGCACATAGTGCCAGTAATATCTTCCAGTTTAATTAAGGTGACAGTGGGAAAAAAAGTTTTTTATATGCTGCTTACCCTTCTCAGATCATAGTAAGAATTTTTTTCTCTTTGAATCACTAGCATTTAGATTTATCATGAGTGTGCTGTACTGAGTTTAGATCTCTCTAAGGTGTCTTTACATTTTCACCTAGAACGAGAATATTGGGAGTTATGTAACAAATGCAATATGATGAGACCAAAGCGTTCACACCACTGCAGTCGTTGTGGACATTGCGTGAGGAGGATGGATCACCACTGTCCATGGTAAGACCAGGACATTTGTTCTAACAATCTACTGTTGTTTTAGTGAAGTCTTGACTATTGCTCATTTGTCATATTTCTTTCCCAGTAGTGCTTAATCATGTAGGCATTTAGAGCAGGGAAAGAACACCTTTGAGATGTTCTTACGCCTACAAGTAAAACTGACAGTAAGAACTGTTGCAGTGTAACATTTTGTCATTGTCAATTTGTTATATGCCATATAGTTTTGGAAAATTCACATATTTTGTTTAAAGAATTTGAATTTTTACTCCTAAAACTGATCTCAACATAGTTAATTTGTACATTGCAGATTTATTTCATTTGTTGCAATTTAGTTTCTGATGCTGGAAAAAAGTATTTTTTGTAGGAAATTAAACAATATTTATGTTTCTTGGATTGAAATAAAAGATTACAATTTCAACATAAAAGGGGATGCTCTTCATAATAATAAAAATAGATCATGGTTTCAGATAGTTTTTGGTTTTTAGTTTACCAAATAGCTGTGCTGAGTAGAAAATGTTATTGACCTATACCATGCCCCACTTGTCATAGTGTCTCTGATTTTGTAATGAAATTGCTTATTTTGCTGTTTTCTAAGTAGTTTCAGTTGAAATGAACTAATCTGGCTAAAATTATCTATTTAAACTGATTGTTTGTGGCTTAAAACGAAAATAAAGATTTCTGTCAGTAGTTCTGAGGTACCATTTCCAGCAAGACAGCAATGATGAGCTGCAGAGGACAGAATTGACATCAGGATCCTCCTGTGTTGATTTAGCCATTTTTCAAACTACCCTTTTTGTCAATTGCTACTTCACAAAATAATGCCAGTATAACTATTTGTCATTATATATGTATGTCATCAGTATGACTTTTGTCATTATGGCTTAGCTTGGTACTGATGTCTGTGCCAGTGCTTGTATGAAATTGCACCCCAACCACATTTTTTTGTACCAATGTAACTCCTGTGAAGCAGACTAGACTTAGTTTTCAAAGGTTTTGAATCTCGTACTTAGAATTTCTAGAATCCTTGTCATTCCTTTACTCCTTTATGTTGGAGTATGCAAAAGGAGTTTCTGAATAGAGAAGCCCGTTCTGTCTTCTGTATCTTAAGCACCTTCCTAAGTCATGCTTATTTATCACTGGAGTACCTTGTGATCACATTAATTTCAAACCATTCATTTGCATTTCCAGTTTGTGGACTCTACATAGTTCACAACCAGTGAAGTGTGTTGAGTAATGGAAGATAATAGGTATTACTGTGAAATTTTGCAGACTTTTAAAAAATAATTTTGTTACTTGAGTATTACTTAAAATTGTAGGAGTATCTTTGCTATATGAAGATACAGAGAAATATGTCTCGTGTTCTAAGTAGTGATCTCAGTAATGAAAACTACACTCAGACCAACACTTTGATTAAGAATGGAGTGATTAGTCATGATGTTTGCTCCATAAATAACGATAACTTCTGTTATTCAAAATATAACTGCAGTGTTAAAGTCTTTATATTTCTGTCTTTATGTATACACTTTGTTTCTCTGCAGGATTAATAATTGTGTTGGTGAAGACAATCATTGGCTGTTTTTACAGCTGTGTTTCTACACTCAGATCCTTAGTTCCTATACACTGATACTTGATTTCTGCCATTACTACTACTTTTTGCCTCTGAAAAAAGAAAACTGGGTAAGAATCTGTTTTCTGTACAAAGAGAATAAATAGCTAGTACTGCAATGTAATTTATTTCGATATCTAGATACTACATGTTTCTTCTGAATTGTTGACAGTGAAGAGAGTTCATCTAGATGTATGTTATCAAGTGAGCAAACTGATTTATGGTAAGTAACAAAATATCATTCTAAAAGGGTATATGATTTCTATGTGTTAAAAACACAACATTAGTTTTGTCAGATATCTAGGAAAGGACAGAACCAGTTAGATTCCTTTAGAAGTCATTAGTGAATACTGGGAAGAAGCAAGGTAACTACTTTAGGTGTATTCAAATTTCTTTTTACTTTCCCCAAAGTAAATTTATGCAGAGTATATATCTATCCTAAGTCTCTATTTAAAAGTGCTGATATTGCCAGAAAAATAAGAAAAAAACATATGATCATTCTGAAAGGCGAAAAATGTGCATTGGTTTTGAAGCAGTATTTTGTGTTGCTTTGAAAAGGTCATGTGCGTTAAGGGAGAATTAAGTTCCATTTGTTTTACTTGGACTCTGTGTCATTGTCCTATTTCAACATCTTGTCATCAGCAAAATGCAGTTGAACACACGAACAGAGAAAATGGACTTATGGATTGGAATACAGTGAAAAATTATGGAATTTCTTCCGGTATGGAATTGAAGTTCTAAAGTCTCTGTGTCTGGTGCTCATTTATGTCTGTTGTCTGTAATGTTCAGAATATTCAAGATGTTTACTTGAAAGTTGCTGAATGCTTGAAAGTGCTAGAACAGCAAAGCTGATACTCTTTATTTTGAAGAAAATGTTACGAGATCTTGATCGTAAAGAAACATAAAAACTTCCACCCAATATCTGAAATAGACTTTGTATTTGTACTGGACTATAACAAATACAAACTCACTAAAGAGAAAAACCTAGAAAACAAGATAAAAACATATTCAAAATTAGGTAACATTCCAGATGTCCTACGTGAAGAGACTAAGACCATCCCAGAAATTGCTAGTGTACTCTGAATTTTGGTGAGATTTTTTTCCCAAGTATTGAAGTGCTGCAGATTTTTTTTTATTCCATGTTGATGTGACACCTTCGCATACTCTTTGCTGGTGACATCACACCCATCTTTCAAGGTCCATTTTCCGTTTTGTTGAACAACTTAAGTTTGTTGTATTATTTTGTATCCTAAATGGTATAAAATAAGAATAGTAAGCCTCCTGAAAAATTCCACTTCCGGAAAAGAATGGGGCATAGGCTTCCAGGCTTCTTATTTGCTCCCATATGAGTCTGCAGTGGATGTGATGTTCCCAAGAGAGCCTATGTGAAGATGATGTGTCAAAGGAGAGCTAAAAATGTAGGAAGACTGTACTCCTTGGATCATCCGGAACTGATAAAAGTGTTATATTCAAGTTGATAGATACCAGCTTTTTATTCTATGGAATGTACCAAAGTTGAGGATTTTTGCAAATCTCTCTTAAAATAACTTCTAAAGGAATTTCATTTTTTAATTTTTTCATCTATATGAGTATTTCCATTTAAGGGGTTTAAGGCACTCTAGAAATATGGAGAAGAGAAGAATTTGGTGTCTGCTTGGAGCATCTTTCCATAGACACTGCCCTGTAAACTGAGACAGACCTGTAAAACATGTCTCTTAAAATGGAGTACTCACATTTTTCACTTTGTTTCCAGTTTGTTGCAGATGGGCTTTTCATATTCACCTTGTTTGACAGGCATTGTGAGATTTGAGGGAGCTATTTTGATTTGTTGTAGCTGGATTCAAATTAAAAAGGATATGAAATTGCAGTTTTTCTGTATTAGTGAAGAAATTTGTCATCTAAGTAATATTTCTTACGAGTATGTTACATTTTGGGTTTTTGGAAAGTTAATGTTTTTGAAAGGTAACTAAATGTAAATGCCTTTGCTTCTAGTTCCAGTAGCTTTGTAAACTTCTCTTTAATTTATAAACTAAGTTAACGCACTACATTTCTGGACAGAGTGATACGCTTTCTGTGTTCTGAAGGCTTCCTGTGCACAGGGTTTGCAGGTTTCAAGCGCAAAGGCTTCTCAATGATAGTGATCTGAATACTGTATTGGGTATTGCAGTGCTTCTAGGAGGAGCGCTACTTTCCAAAGATAAAATCTTCGTATGAAATCGGCAGTGCTTCTCTCATATTTCCTTTTTATTGTGAGAGTCCCCTGAATGCTCTAACTTACTTTAAGTAATTACACTGTGTTTAGATAACGAACGCAAGTTCTATTTGTTAGCCTTGCTTTTTAAAAGCAGAATGAAAGGGAACCAAATTATTTGTTTGGAGATGGTCTGTGCAAGAGAGGAAATGGGAAATCATGTTTACTTCAGACAGCTTACAACCTCTGAAGAAGTAATAATAAATAGTCTTTTGGAGGGAGGCCTGCTTTTAATACCTACCCTTTAGAAGATGTGATGGGTTATGAGGCAGAATACATATGCAATAATTACTTTAACCCAGTTGAATGTAGTTGCCTGAAGAGTGGATCAGGTTCCCATGTTTGACTGCCTAAATTTTTACACAGAGTCATGGAAAAAACAGAGTACTTTATGTTTTGTTTTGTTTTGTTTTGTTTTGTTTTGTTTTAGCAGTGGTTTTTTTGGCTTTATCAATTTGCATATGTGGACACTTCAGATGACACTCTTCCTTTTGAAAAACTGGATCTGTGTTATAGTGTATAACATTCTATGTCCCAGAGATAATTATGTTTACACTGTATAGAAAAACTGAGTAGACACAGCAGGTCTGGTTTGTTCAGACCTTTCTTAAGTCTAGTGTTACACTGAATAGTATTTAGCTTTCTCAATTTTTCAGCAGCTGGATTGAGGGGCACACACTGAAGTACAGAAAATTAAGAATAATTTGTTTGGGTGTCTATAGTCAATATATCTGCCTGGAAGGTGACATCAGAGCCCCATTAAGCTGATTTTTTGAAGTGTTGCTAAGGATATGATGCCATATAACTTCGTGCCACAGAATAATTTGTCAGAATTATGTAATTTTGACATCAAGTGAATGGGACCAGTGAGAAGATTTGCTTACTATTAGTTAGGCTTTTAGGCAAACATCCTGCAAGATTATTTTAGTAGTTGTATATCAGTTAAAGCTGAAGTACCATAGCATTCCAGAGACTGCAGTACCTTCTACCTTTCATGGGAGCGCTGTTCTTTGTTGAAATTTTGGCTGTAACCAAGAGCCAAGAGCTTACATTTTCTGAATTGACAGGGCCTAGTGTTTAGCATAGATTCAAAAAACTGGGTAATTTTTTCTAAAGAGCCATCTGGGATTAGCTTACTTCCTGCTCATTAAAAATACTTGTGAATTTTTTGGCGGTGTGCCTTCATCTTAATTTTTATTCTTTGGGTATAAAATAGTGCGTAACACAGAAGCTGTAGAATTAAAATTGCTTTTAATGCTGTTGTGAAATAATCATTTTATCACAGTACTGATTAATGCATTATGAAAATATGGTCACTGTATGCATGTTAGTATTTCCTTCTGAATGAAAACTTGTGTTTTTATTTTTAAAGGATTAAGTAAGAAAAACCCAAACATGTTTAATTAAGTATACTAGGGTAAGAGTGTGATAGGTTTAAAGCTAATGGAGGAAGCTATTTCAATAGAGATACAATCTTTCAGCTTCAGGTCTTACAGCAGAAAATTGCTTCATAGTATTCTTGGCTCTTGTAATGGATACACTGTCAGAAAGATGGATTGTGGTTATTGCCTCTGTTTGTCCAGCAGGAGGAGTACAATTACTGCTAGAAGTGAAGGAAATGATAATTAAATTGTCTATGTGAGACAGAAGAAAAATATATAATTCGAATAAAACAGCATATGAGTTCCTCTGCTAGCTTTGGTGATTTTCAGAGGCTAAGTCTGGAATGTTCTTAGTTTTGCATCTTCATTAAAAAACATCAAGGTCAGGAAGTCTGTATCTTTTAGGAAGTATTCAGTCTTGTGGGTAGTCAGATGAGAAGAATAAATACTAGTCTTCTCATGACTATATAGTTGCTGTCTACATGGCTGTGCTGGCACAGATTCTAGACACAGCTGGTCAAGTGGAAGGAACAATAAATGTTTTGACAGTGTATTTTACCTGATTCATAGAACACTTTTAATCTTTTCAGCACAAGAAGTTTTGCTGATTGATACATTCTGTTTGCTAGAAGTTTTGCTAGAATTATTGTCATAGCAAAAAACACTGACATAAAAACCTAAAGCCCTTTGGTCTGGTTTAGTTTTACTTTGTTCCCAGTTCTGCAGTTATCCATTGTATATTATGAAAATATTGTTACTTAACTGGTTTTTAAAGTGTTCTGAGCTCTGTTGGTAGAGGGGGGAGGAAACATCATGGAGGAAGCGTTGTGGCAATATCAGCCCGCTCTGTCTGGGACTCTGCTTTCCCAATTCCAAATAAAAGGTGTTGGGAAGTATTCATTAGACTTCACAAGAAGATTATTGACAGTAATATTTATTTCAGTATTATGTATTAACTAATATTAATTAAAATCTGGAAATACGTATCATCCAAAGTCCATTTATATTGTAAAGAGAATCTAAAGGAAGCCTTTTCTTTTAGGGTCTTGAAATGACCTACAGGATGTGAGAGTTTTTAAAAAACTTGAAAATACATCAAAATTTTCCTTCTCAGTATTCTGCAAAACCAACCTCACCCTGCTCGCCTCCTGTATAATTATAAGAGCAGTCTCTGAATATTGAATAAAGTTTAGAAAGTAAATACATAGTCTTTAGAGAAAAGATAGGAATGACTGAGAGGATAACATTTTGTTAGAACTTAATGTATTCATAGTATAATTTTTATGCAAAGATTATATGGCCTTTTCTTAAAATCTGTTCTAGTCTGAAATTATTTCAGCATTATCACTTCGGATTGAATTCTGTGTAGAAAATAATTTCTGGAATCAGAGTGCTATTCCCTTTTTCACTTTAAACCAAATCAGTCGTCATGAATCAGACTGGAAAATTACTCATTTAGTAGACCTGAAATCAAAAAGTGCTTTACATAAACATCAGGTTTTATTAATAATAAGTATCTCTACAAAAGGGCTTGTTAGAATGCAGCTCGTGTTCTGTGAATTAATTTTCTTTTTTTTTCCTTAACATGAGCGAATTTTTTTCCCTTGTACCTCCCCTTCCTCTTGCTTCCTGAAAAACCTGCAGTCTGTATTTTTTGTTTTGCTTTTTTGAATCTGACAGCCTGGCCTTGTTCTGTGTTCTACACTGTTTTTATGGTAGCCAAGTTGATAGACTGACTTCATCACCAGACTGGGACAGGCATCCTGGGCATTTGCAACTGAGAACAGACAAGCAGGTTAGCATGTGTTACATGAGGTATCCCTTCCCCAAGAGAAAGATGAAGTATCTTAATATATTTTGGAAAGCTCTGTCCTCTGTACAGAGTGTGCTGTTTTTAAAGGAATACTGTAAACCCTTGAAAATAATAACCCAGTACTGCAAATGGCAGGGACCCGTTAAATGTGTTCCCGCCTTTTTGTTGTTGTTGTTAGGAGGGTAAAAAAGAAGTTGAATTTGGAAGCAGCGGTCATATCATTGACTATGATCTTGAGCTGGACCCGTTATTGTTTTTGACCTCTCTCCTGTATGATAGCATAAAGCTATAATAGCTGTTCTCCTAGTCAATGGTAGCATTCATCCGTAACAGTTGATGCTCACAAATGAAGACATGGCATGTGTTCTGCTGTGGGGTTGAGGAAGTCTTGTGTGAATCTGTTAACTGGCTTTCTGTGGAATGTTTTGGTATTGTCTGTTAAGATAAAGATGCCAGATCTCATGGTTTGTAACCCATTCCTCAACATAATCCTACAGACCTGCACCTTGTTTCTTATTTTGTGACGAGTTTCTGTTGTACAGATTTCTATCCATTTTTATAAGTAGCCAAGAATCCTTGCAGTTTGACTGGATGGACAGAAGTAGTGGCTAAAGGGAACTTAAAAACCTTTAGAACAGGCAACAGCCTGGGGGCAGTGCACATCTGAGCCGTGTAGGAAACACTAAGTAGAAAGACAAGAGCAGTAACCCATGTGAACGGAAGTTTTGACAGAGCAGTTAGGCTGTGACGTTGACAAAAAGGAGAGGAGAAAGGGGCTACCTGAAGGGCAGCTCTCTGTTAAAATTGTGCTTTTAACATCTGTGCCTAGGCCACATATGTCAGCCTGGCCCAGCGTGGAAAAAAGCTGCTGTGGGACAAAACCCTATTTTGCCATGAGAAAGAGTTCATGCATTGGTGAAGTTAGCTTATGTGTGCTTAGGCTTTGTGCCTCAGCCTGTGTAGCTCTTTCTCTTAGCGCAGACAGTGTGATTTTGGAGGTTGGGGGGCAGGCTGTGTCAGTACTCACGCTGCACTGAGACTGGTGAGTCCTAAATGGTATTTGAACAAGAGGATCTGTTCAAAATACATTGAAAGAGGAATTGATTAATTATTGACTAGTCTTGGGGGTTGATTTATTATAGCTTTGATTATTTTTCTTAGCTGGGAAAAATGTTTTTGTCAGTTCTGAGAAGGAGTAATAAAACAAACTGGATTGAGCTTTTATGTAAAGCAACACCATCCTAAAGGTATAATTATTATTATTACTATTACCGTGATTTAAATGGATTTTTAAAAACGTTCTTTTTTTCTATTTTCCTGGAGTCACACGTTTCTATTTCAATGCAGAATTGTGAAAATAGCTGTGTTATTAAGGTCAGATTACCAAAAGACTCTATTCCTGCATATACTTTGGTTTTCTATAGAAAAATGCTCTCCTGACTGCAGAGATTTCTAGGTGAGGGCCCAGTATTGGTTTCCAGGTCATAATTGCCTCCGAGACTTTGATTCCCCTAGGGCTGTGTAATGGCTGGAAAAAAGGTTGGTGATGTCACCTCTTATCACTACTAATTCAGCAACCCCCAGTCTTTTGCAGTAGATACTTTCATCTTTTAGGGAGGAAGGAAGGAAGGAAATGCAGAGTGGTATTCCTTGGTCTTCATTATGAAAGGTTTTTCCTTTTCTGTACCTCTGGTTTTAACATGGGTTAAAAGGGCCAAATGCAAAATGGAACATGCCTTCTTTAGGCCAGGATCTTCTGTTGTCATGTGTGGGGTGATGTCTCTTTTTCCTGCTGCAGATGCTGAAGATGATGCTCAAAAGAAGGAACTCTTCTAATTACAGGGTTAGGAGGGATGCTAAGAGCTGTGTTATAAACTTTCGTCTAATGGGAGAGTGTGATGCTAGATCCAGAATGTGACTTCAGTGTTGGCACTCTTCTCATTTCACTGTTTTCTGTCAAGTTGAGTTTGCATACATTAAAACATTTCTGATATAACAAAACAACATACCTATGAAGATATGAAGAGAAAGTATTTTACAGCTAGTAGAACTTGTGTTTTACCTTGCTTTTCTTTAAAGCTTTGGTGGGCTGGTGGAAAGGGGAATAAAGACTAGTATGAATGCTTTTATTTTGAGTTGATTTAACTTTGAATTAACTCGTTAACTGAATAAGAAGAGTTTAAAAAAAATCAAAATGAAGCATATATTTTCTAAAGCAGCAAGAAAGGCCAATACTAACAAGAGCTGGCTTACCAGTTCAGAAAAGACTGGTGGGGTTTGCTTTTTGTTTTAGCTTGCTAACTACTGAGTCCTACTTGTTCATTAAATATTGACTTTCTTCACAGCTTTAGTAGCCAGTATAAACTTTTTTCCTGGGTTTATATTTTGAACCTTCATAGAAATAATTTAAATCTAAATTCAGACTTCTTTACTATATAATTTGCTTTAACTGTTTTCTGTTTAATTAAAACCCAGCATTCCTGAATGTAAGAATTCCTCTTCCTTAAGTCCTACTGGTTGAACGTAAAGAAGGAAAGTTCAAAAGCAGTTTTGTTTTGGTTTTTTTTTTCATTCAGTTCACTTTTGTGTTCTGGTTGTAATTTAAAGTTTACTTGAAAGGTTTTAATAGTTTCCTGCTGCGATCTGGCTTTTCTAAGTGGAAAAACAGATGCGTACATTCAAAAGACAGCCTTGAGAACATAATCGTAACTTATACATAAGAGAATGGGTGTGTTAACTCATTATCAAAGGGTAAGATGGGGTGTGAACTTGCAGTACATCTACAGTAACTGCCATGTATGAATGTTTTCCTGTGATAAAAATAAGGTGGTTTATCCTTTGAAAAAGATCTATAAATCTCTCTTAGACTTTTCATATTTTCTGCTGGGTGAGAGCAGGCTTTTCAGAGCACCTGATACAGTAAATTCATATTCTCCTGTACCCTGAAGCAAGTTGGTTGTGCACCCATATCCAAAGTTATAATAATCCACTTACGGCCAAAATGCAAATGATGAAGATAAGTTTATGTTGGATAACAGACAGCATTACAGTGAGACCAGTCCAATACAGATACTTGGATTTTGTAGGTACCATTTTCAAGAGTCAAGCAAGGAATGTTGTTATTTTTATTACAGAAGAGGTGATGTTAAAACAAAATTTGCTGTGGCTTGAAGCCGAGATATAGGAGTCTTACAAGTCAGAATGTTTAACAGAACAGTTTTCTTATGTTTTGGAACTTGTGTGTAGCAGTCTGGCACAGTTTGAGATGGAAGATTCAGGAGTAACCCATTTGAGCTCAGTCTATTCCCAAACCTTAAATACCTGCATGAGGTTTTTTAACAGTCTGGGAAAAAAACCCCAACTGTTTCCATGTATAAATAAAAGATCATTGGTTTATAATTTTAGCACATAAATGTATCAATGATTTGCAGTGTAGCTCAAAAATCCAGTATTTGCCTTTAGCTGTAAGTCTCTGGGAACAGCTCTTATCCAGTATTTCCACAAGGTTCAAAGACTTAAATTAATTTGTAAGTGCTAAAGTCTCTCTCTTCTTTCTTGTCTTGTTCTAGGATGTTTTTGTATTTAGGCATGAACTTGCTCTCCTAAGAATATCTGCGTTCATGGGTCTAATAATATTAGGTGGAATAAGTGGACTCTTTTACACTCAGCTAATGGGTATTTTCACTGTAAGTATCTAATTTTAGAAGTATATATTAGTTTTATTTTCAATAAAATTAATAAAATTAGAAAAGCAGATTGAATTTAAGGGAAGAATAGAGAAACACTTGCACTATGTGGCATCTATTTGGTATGTGCTCTTGTCTCCAAGGAAGTCTTAAGAAGCCTTCTAACAAACAAGTGTCTAATAATTCACCTATCAAGGCAATTTCCTGATTTGTATTAGTAAAATAAAACCATACATTGTCCTGGAATTGTACAGTGTACAAGGTACGTATTTGTGGGTTTTGATTTTTGTGCCCTGGTCTCATTATACTTTATGACAGTGAGGCCCACTGATAAATCACACATTCTGAAAACACAGACTTTTTGTTAATTATTTTAATAAATATGCTTACATTCATATCTCTTCAGTTACTAAACTGTGGAATGGACTCATGTACAATTTACAGTCCAAATGCATGTTCTGTATTTGAAGGTACAGAAAAAAAATCCTCTGCATGGAAAAATTTTCCAGTTAAATGAATTTGGTAATGGAATAAATATCTACAATAAATAAGCTTTTGTTGCTGTAACATCCTGTTCTGTACATTAGAGGTTAATCACTGCCACTGAATTCTGTAAAGTTATCTTGAGAATCCATAGAAGTGTTCGAAGTACTGCAGTGTTGAACAGAGAGAGTATATTAGTTGGATCTGTACATGTCTGAAAGGGTGTATGATCTGGCCTGCAAAAATTTTTTTAAAGACAATAACATACAAGATGACAGCATCTTTGTGACTACAACTGGTTGAGATCTGCCTGAGATTTCATTTTGGGATTATGAGGGTTTACACAGTATTAACCTTTGTAGGTGCATAATGGAAAACCTCCTAACTGTATTATGTAATTCCTTTGTATGGAATAAAGGACAAGAATTACTGTACAGTTTTTTCTTCTGTTAGATAAACAACAATATTGCTTAATGTTTTTATTGTATTACCTTTACATAAGTTTACTGCCTTCTGCTCTTTGTGCGACTGTAGCTACACTGTGTATTATTTTTGCCATCCTCCAGCTGCTTTACCAGACTGCTTTCTGCACTTTCTGTCAGCCCCCAGGTCTCCAGATTTACCTTTGTGCCCCTTTACTGTGTGCCTGATTTCTGTTCCAGGGTCTTGCTGACAGGTTCTCACCTCCCTGTTTAAATGCTGGCACACAACCTTTTTGTCTGTGTCCTCTAGAGTTGGGATTTTTTTCTAATCCAATACTGTGCCTTGCTGGGTATCTAGCTGAAGTGGTGCAGACATCTGAGTTCTGCTCACCTTCACTCCCAATAGTAGGAGAGACAGAAACTCAGGGAGCCTTAGAGTTCAGATACTGAAATATGGATGTCTTTTTAGTCTCTGTTAAATGGATACATGAGAAAGAACAAAAAGCCATGTGATCAGTACTACACTAAAACGCAGAAATGATACAGAAGAAAACAAGGAACAAAATCTAAGTCTGCCGTTCTGTTCTACGTGATGCCAGAAGCTGGACTAAATTTTGGCAGTGGCTATCAGCATCCATTCAGATACTATTAGTATATATGAAATAAAAACGTTCAGACTGAACCTGATTCTGTCAGATACACCTGAAACTTGAGACAATTTCTGTTCTGACACAGGATACCAACTGTGCTGCCTCTGCAACAGGCATGAATTCCCAGTATGTGCTTTCACTGTTCTGAGCCTTAACACTGTCAGGCTGCTATCACCACTGCAAACTCTTATAAAGTGCTGTAAAGCCCCTTTATTCTATGTCAGTTGTACAATACACTGTGAAGTACGTCCCATTGCACTTACTGAGCTGGCCGCTACCCTGGAACAGATGTGGGCTAATACCATTTTCAAGTCCAACTTCCTTTTATGTGCTCAAATCATAATTCTGGGGATCACTGAGCTGTAGCAAGCCTGGATACTCTCTTTTGTCCTCTTTGCCAAACTTTGTGAAGCAAACACACCACAGTAATTGCAGATATCGATGGACTATGAAAAGCAGATTCTGGAAAGTACAGATCTTCTGCATTAGGGCCTCTCACCGCACCCTACCTGTAGCAGGGGGTCTGTTCTGCTTGCCTCATATGGGCAAGGTTTTAGGTTTGGGACTGTTGGGTTGGGATTACTGGGGAAGTAGAAATCCATTACTGGGATCTCCAAACTAATTCATTCACACCACGTGGCTGCTGTTGCATTGACTCATTGAAGAATGTAGGTCATCTAGTCCATCTCCCGCTCAAAGCATTTCCATGCCAGCAACACAATCATCTCCCTTTTCATTCCTTTCTTCATGAGTATAGAATTGGCAAGAATAAACAATACAGTCATTTTGGGGAAATCTGCTTGGGAACAACTAGTCAGACTTCAAACGAACAAAGCCAAATCTGTTTGGAGAGGTTGTGCTTAGTCTGCAAGTTGTGTCAGAAAATCTTTCTGTACAAATGGTTTTTGATTGTCAGCATTGTAGTGTGGGGATTTGCTTCCTCCATAAGCACTTACGAACAACTTTGGCTAAGCCATGGAAAAGGTAGAGGAGAGGGCAGCAGGTGAGTGAGTAGTTTCTCTGCAGGCTCCCCAAAGACACGCCTATGATGCATAGAATAGGGAAACAAAGAAACTGGGTATACCCACTCACAGTGCTGAGCGCACAGCGTGGAAGATATTCAAGTCCTGTAGAAGCAGTGAACGGTGATCACTAAGAGACAGCGATGTTCTTGCCATGTACTGTGCTGGAGCTACTGTTCAGCATTTAACCTTCCTGTATAAACTAAACAAATTGTACCTGAAATGAGCTCTATTTAAAATAATGAATTAATGATGAAATTAAACTTTACCTAGTATAAGGTGCAGATCAAAATTTATTTAACAGCAGAACATAATTGTTGAAGTGTAATAATGCAGATTTGAGGTTAAATTAAAAGAAACCCAAACACTTGAAGGCATAGATATGCACAGTTAAAGCATTCATGTTATATTAATTGCTCCATAGCTGTTCTTGAAAGCATTAATTTCAGTGATTGCTGAAGCTGTCCAGAGATGTGTGCAAGAGAGGTGGACAAGAGCATGAGCCTTTTGAAAAAGGCGAAGCAGAGCAGCTCTTACTTGTGCTTCCACAGGAAAACAGATAACAAACATTTTCCTAGTTCATGCTCCATGCCTGTGTTTGCAATTGAACATCAAGCCAAGATTAGTTCCACAGCTCCTAGATAAAAGTTATTTTCAAATAATAGAGACGATCAGCATTGCAGCTCTGTGATATAAACTTTGACTGATACATACTGTTGCTAAATGAGTCCAGCAAGTTCTGGTTTGTTACGGTTTAACATTATTTGCCTATATTGCAAATGCTGCCAAAATTGTATTTTTGGAAAGAAAAATAAACTCAAGATTTATCAAACCTTGACCCTTTTGTAGCAAAACTTCCTGATTCTCCATAAGGTGCTTGATTGTCATGATACAATTTTCCAGAAACCAAGCCAATAGTTTCTGTTTTGTCTGAGTAATATAAAGCTAAGGCTAACTTCTTTTCAGGAGTATTGGATGTGCATATTAAAAAAATCACCAGTTCTCAGTCTTTCAGTATCTTCTACATACACAGGGGTAATGAAACCACAGAGTTGTTCATCCTCCTTTAGCATCCTCAGTAATAAGGGACTAGGACCTGAAATGGCAACTTTGTGCTTTGTTGTTTATGGTTGATTTCCACAGTCTGATGGCTCTGCTCACATGTAAATGATTGGAATGTAGCATGGATTATGAAGCATGATAAGTACCGTGCATCAGAGCACTCATGCTGATTCTTCATATTTACAGAGGTTTATCCTTTTGCCACTGCAGCAAGATAAACTTGGATGTATGGAATTAATTTTCATTAAGTGACCTTTGTGTACAGCATTTTTATAAGCAGAGTTGCTCTTTACTAGAATTGAGCTAAGTGATAGCTTGACAAGCCATAAGAACGAGCAGAAGTTTTTAATAGGATTTTAAGGGGAAATACTGGCATTTTCTCCTCTTTGATAAGTTTTTTCAGAAGTCAAAAAATGTCCAAATGAACATGTAATGGAAAGGATATATCTGATATACTCCAGCATATTTTTCTGGAATAGGGCAGTTGCTAAAACAGGAAAGCAAAGCAGCACATTATGACATGCAGGTGAAATATCCTGCTGTGTGTGCTGGCACTTTGCAGAATTCAGTGGTGGTGTGCAGTTGACTGATCCGTGCCTATCATTGCATAACTCCCATTGGGTATAACAGTAGATCCATTATATAAAAGTTCTTTAAGAAAAAAATGCATGTAATCTGCTGTTATCAAGTTTCATGGCTGTTCAACAGATAGTAAGATGCTTGGAAAAAATGCGCTCTGGTAAAAATGAAAGCTTTGTAACTTGTGTACTCAAATTTGGCTCTTACACAGGGAATGTTCTTAAGGCAGTGCTGCTTGAGAAGGTGATCAATAGACAAAGTTACCTAACATGCAGTAATTTCTCTGAGTAGGTTTACCACCTCTCTTATTGTGATATCAGTATTAGGGTATCATTAGCACAAGGCTATTCTTATCTCATCTGGAGGTCCAGGAAGCCAAAGAGCAAGGGAGGTGACTTCCTACAATAAGAGGAGAACAGCTGGTTGGCAAAAACTGTCCTTAGAGGAACTTTTGACATGAATTGTTCTGATGAAGAGGGGAGCAGCTGAGGTGGCCTCTGTATATGGGATTAGTGCTTTCTCCCTAGAAACTAGCATATGTGAAACACACTTCTAGCAGAAGGGGCACATGGCTCTTTTCATCCTCCTTCTCCAGTTGCTTTCCCCAAACTCTGTTTGCCTTTACTCTCATCATCATTCTGAATTTTAACTCTTCTTCCAGCGTGTACCTGAGATCACTCCTGGAGAACTTTTATTTAGATGCTTTGGAAACAGAGGTATCTAAGTTCTCTCTAATAAATTTTCTCTAATTCAGAAGTCTCTGGAATAGGGAGATATTTAAG